GCTCCAAAAGGCCCAGGGCGACGCCGCCGGCGCCGCGGCGAGCCTCGAGGAGTGCGTGGCCCTCTGCCGCGAGGCCCTCGGCCGCGACCACCCCGCCACGGCGCAGGCGCTGAGCAGCCAGGCCGGCCTCCTCGCCGCCCGCCGCCGCCCCCGCGAGGCGATGCGGCTTTACGAGGAAAGCACCACGACCTACGCGCTGGCCCTCGGCAAGGACGCCGCGCTGGTGGGGGTGGAGCTGATCAAGCTCGGCCGGGCCCAAGCCCTGTGCGGCGAGCTCGCGCTCGCCCACCAGACCTACACCCGGGGGCTGGACATCGTCCGGCGGCACTTCGGCCCGGACGGCGCGCCGGTGGCGGAGGGGCTGACCTGCCTTGGCGCGCTGCTCGTGCAGCGCCTCGAGCTCGACGCCGCGGTCGCGGCCTTGCAGGAGGCGCTTCGCATCCGCCGCCTGGCCGACCCCCAGGACCCCCAGCTCGCCTACCTCTACCAGAAAACCGCCGAGGCCTGCGCGATGAAGCGGGAGCCCCAGGCCGAGGCCTACTTCCTCCTCGCCATCGAGGCCTACCACACCAACGCGAAGACCGAGCCCGTCCAGCGGACCTACGCCAGCGACGTCCTGGACGACCTCGGGCTCTTCTACGTCGACTTCCAGCACTACGACAAGGCGGAGCGCTGCTTTAAACAGGCCCTGGACCTCCGCCTCGAGCTGCTGGGCGACCACCACGCCACGGTGGCCTACTCCTACAGCAATTTCGCCCTCCTGTACCTCCTTCGCGAGGCCCTCGAGGACTGCGAACGGATGGCCCGCGCCGCGCTCGAGCTCTACGCGAAAACGGCCCGAACCAACACCCTCGCGCAGGCCGACGTCTACACCGTCCTCGGGCAGTGCCTGCACAAGAAGAAGGCCCACGCGGCGGCCCTGGAGAGCCTGGAAAAGGCCCTCAACCACCGCCGCCTTCACGGCGAGTCCGCCGAGCAGGCCGTCGCGGAGTCCCTCAACTACATCGCCCGGGTGCTGCTGGCGATGCGGCGCGTCGGCCGGGCCGCCGCGCACGTCCGCGAGGCCCGGCGGATCGCCTTCCGGCTGAACCAACTCCTCACCGAGGCCCTCCGCGCCGAGATCGAAAAGACCGAGCGGATGCTGCCCCCGCTCGAGGAGTGGACGGCCGCGGACCACGCGGAGGCGGGGGATCCCCCCTCCCCCCTCCCTGACCCGAACGCCGAAGCCCCCAAAGAGGCCAGCGAAAAGGAAAGCCCGGGTCCGCCGGGTTGACGATCGGAACGATCAATAGTTTTTTTTTTTGAAGAAATAAAAAGGGTTGATAACATAGCGATCTTTTGGGAAGTGTAGATTTGTCCAATAGAATTACAAAAAGTCGAAAAATGTGCATGCTTTCTTTTTTTTTGTCGTAATGAGGGGTTCAGTTGGTTAGTTTATAATTCACGCAGGGAAAGCGGTATATCCCTTTCCAAAACCACGCCCTCTTTTTCTTTCATAGTCCTTTCACACGGATTGAGGTTCAAACCTAGCGTTGTTGTTTTTGGTATTGTTAAAACTATTGTGGTGTGTTATGAGAGAGGGAGAGGGTGAAAATCGATATGCATTTATTTGTTCATTCATTTATTTAAGATTTATATTGATCTGATAGTAGCCGAGGG